AGCCAGGCCCCCAGAGCAGGGCCCTTGGGAGGAGGGACACACACCTGCCAGCGGAGCAGGCTTCTCCCAGGACCAGCTCCCAGCGGTCACGTGCGCATGAATGGAAACACCCGGGTCGGGTCAGGCTGCCAGCCCCTGAGAGAGTCTGGAAAAGGCACTTACAGGTGCAGAGCAAGGCTGCAAAAAGCAGGGCAAAGCAAGTGGCTCAAGGTGAGAAGCATGATATTGATCTTGGTTCAGGGAGAGGCATGGATGACCCCCAACAGTACCAGCCTGAATCATCAGTTGATTTCAAGCACCCACCATTGTCTCAAACGAAGACATCACTGAGAAACTTAAAAAGCAAAGACTCAGAAGGCAGGAGCATCTCCTCTCTGCCACCCCCACCCCACACTCCGGAAGTGGCACCACCAGGACCTCAAGGAGCAAGCACCACGCAGGCTGGGATGCCCTGTGAGTCTGGTAGACAAAGACAAACCAAAAAGGAGGCCCTACACCGGGGGGGGGGGGGGGGGGGGGCAGAGGGGTGTCTATTCTGGAACAAAGAATTGGTGATGAGAGTGAGAGGGAAGAAATAGAAGATAAAAAATTCTGAGAAGGCAACCAGGTTCCTTTGGAAACACAGCAAAAGAGATGGAACTAGGAAGTCCACCCCTTCCCACCCCAGGGATGCGGAGCACCTGGCAACTGACGCTGCTTCCACCACCGGCGGATCCCAGTCCCAGTCCCTGAGCAGCTCCCAGTGCAGCGAGCTGTATCTCGCTGAGATCACAGCAGAGCCCCCAGAAAACCCTTCCGAGCAGACCCAGGAGCAGGGCGGGGAGGAGTGGGAAGCACACAGGGGCTGCCAAGCCCAACCAGCAGGCGCCCCCAACCCCTGGGGTCAGGGCAGCTCTATCCACACCTCCCGGGTCCACAGGAGGAAGCCTGGCCCTGCCCTCCAACTCCCTGAGGCCAGGGTAGAGACCTGTACCCATACCTTTAGGGAGAGGCTGACCCCTGGCCCTGGCGTCCCCAGGCTCGGAGCTCCAGGCCCACAGCCGCTGCGGCTCATCGGGGCGCCACGCAGCTGGCCCGCTCAGGGGAAAGGGCATGCCAGCGGCAGGCTACAGCCCCCGGCGCTCCTCTGGGCCCACGCACACAGCCTCCGCTCCGGCGGCTCCCAGGCCCCAGCGACAGGCCCTTCCTGACATTCTGCGCGTGTGGGAGGGAGAGGCACGAGTGCAAACCTCAAGGCGACCGTCAGAGGCCGGTGGGCGGGTGCGGGCGGGCAGGCTGCCCGGCCACCCACAACCACCGCCTCCCTGAAACCTGAACCACTTGTGGGAAAACTCAAGGACGCCAGGATTCTCTTCGGTGGCCAGCGGTACTCCAGAACCACATCTCCAACCAAACTCTCCCCCGCTGAGCAGGTTTAGCGAGGAGGCACGGATCTCCTAGCCTGAATCCGATGGGGTGGAGCCGGGGGAGGCATCAGCCATGAACCCCATCTCCCAAAACTGTCTCTTTAAAAGCATGAGGACATTCTAGATCAGCGATTCTCAGCCTGAGGTGGTTTTGCACCCCCTCTGCCCAGGCTTTTGGCCATGCCTGGAGACGGTTTCAGCTGCCACGATTAGAAGTGCTACTAGCAGTTACTGGTAGAGGCCAGGGTGCTGCTAAACATCCTACAATGCACAAGAGAGCACCCCCTCCCCATACACACCAAAGAGTCATCAGCTTCAAATGTCAACAGTGTCAAGGCTGAGAAGCCCTGTTCTAGAATGAGGCCCACCCAGCCAGGACCTGCCTGAGGGCTGTCTATCCAGTGCCATTGGCGTAGGTGTTCCCCAGACCGACAGGTCCCAGGCTATGGTAACAGGCTAGAAACTGCAAGTGGATCCTAACTCCCATCTGAGGTCCCGTGGTTCCCACTTGCACTACCCTGAGCTCCCAGGCAGGGAGCTAAATGTATTGGCACTCAGGGGAGGGCTTCCCAGAAGAGGAGGAAGAGGAAGAGGAAGAGGAAGAGGAGGAGGAGGAGGAGGAGGAGGAGGAGGAGGAGGAGGAGGAGGAGGAGGAGGAGGAGGAGGAGGAAGGGGAAGGCCAGGGCTGGAATTTGAACATTGGGCAGAGTCTGAACAAAAAGCAGAGATCCAGTGGCCAGAACAGGGTAAATCGAAGCAGCAAGGTGGGGACGTGCCCAGTATCCCCCAAGGACAGCACGGAACTGGTATAGTGGGTATGTGCAGGGCAGCCAGGACTTCACAGAATTCAACCCAGGGAGCCCAAGTTTCCCGGCATCGGTGCAAAACAGCGAGTTGCATGTATGTTTCAGTGCATGTGTACACACCTACATACACATTTGAATTTTCCTAGGGAAAGGGTCTACACCTCCTCCATCAGATTCCCAGAGGAGCACATGATACAAAGGACCACGGTGTAGCACGGGGCCCTCTTCATGGGTGTCCCTGAAAAGGAATTCCTTAGGTGAGATGCCAGGGGAAGTCCAGTGCTAACTGGGGATCTCCATGCCCAGAAAGACCCCGAAGGTATTACACCAGAGACCAGGGAGTTCCAGGTCTTGTTTGCACCCAGATGTAGGGCCTGGGCAGATGGGCACTCTAATTGCTGAGACGGGTGCCCCCTCCTCCCAAAGGACACCCTTCCCTGTGGAGGGCGCTCAAGGCCTGTGGCTCTGTGGTCTGTGCTCTTGACAGCTACCAATGCCCTGGGCCCGAGCATCACTTCACACACACACACACACACACACACACACACACACACACACACACTTCTCTCCCCAGGAAATGGACATGTTTGGGTCAGAGAGTGGCCGAACTGAGGGCAGACTAGGGCAGTCGAGGCCTGCACTTCCTGACAGCACAGACAGGAGTCAGATTCCCTTCCAGCCAGCGGCTCCTGACATTCCACTCAGAACACTCTCCACCTGGTCCCACGGGCCCTGGTCTGGCCCAGGTACAGTACGGACAGAGGCAGACGCCGGGAGCTCCTGTGGCATTCCCCTGGGCATGGGGCAGCTCTCCCCACGGTCCTCAAAGGTCAGGACAGTGGCCACCAGAGGGCAGACAGGACGGGTAGGTGTGACCCCCACCTTCCTCCCAGGGCAGGAACACAGGTGGTTGTTTTTCCGTCTAACTCCAGCTGCCCCACCTTGCAGGGCGCTGCCCACGCCAGGTGGGAGACCCAGAGGGAAGAGGAGGGAAATACAGTGTTGGGTGGGGGAGGACAGGACCCACCCTGCCCTACCTAACCTGTGAGGAGGGTGAGGACCGGTGAGACCACCGTGAGACCACCGTGAGACAATTTAGGAGACAGATCCCAGGGATGTCCAGGAAGATTCTAGAGCCAGACAGGTGAGCTGTGCGTGCCTATTGAGTCGGCTGGCTGCCACCCTCCCCTCTACAGGCCAAAACCTTCCTTTTCTTGGGAAAAAGCATCTCAGAGCAGCACTTAAAAGGGATCAGGGGCAGAAAGGGGGACACATTCAACACCACCACTTTGCTTCTACCACACAGGAAACTGCTCCAAGAGAGCCATGAGACTCCCTTTAAGAGCGCCCTGGCCCTCACCAGTTTGGCTCAGTGGATAGAGCGTCGGCCTGCGGACTGAAAGGTCCCAGGTTCGATTCCGGTCAAGGGCATGTACCTTGGTTGCGGGCACATCCCCAGTGGGAGGTGTGCAGGAGGCAGCTGATCGATGTTTCTCTCTCATCGATGTTTCTAACTCTCTATCCCTCTCCCTTCCTTTCTGTAAAAAAATCAATAAAATATATTTTTTTTAAAAAGAGTGCCCGGGTACCAATGAGGTCTCTATCCTCTGGTCTACACCCAGGCTACGCAGCACCGAGCCCCGCAAAGAGAACTTGCTTGCTTTGAAGTAGACAGCTACTTCAAGCAACATCGCCACAAGAGACTGACAGAGGGAGGGCGGGCGGGATGGGGGATCCCGTGTCCCCACCCCCGCAGCCGCGCGGGGTTCCCAGCCCCGCCCCTGCACGACCGGCCCCGCCCTCCGCGGGTTTCCCAGACTCCGCGCTGCGGCCACCTCGGCGGCGAGGGGCCCGCGCTGCATGCGTAATGGGGGCTGGGAACAAAGGCGCGCGGGGCCCGGCGCCCCGACAGCGGCCCATCAGCCGCCCGACGGCCCGAGCTTCCCCCTGGAGCTTCAGTGCACGGCTCCTCCAGCTTTCCAGGGCGACCCTGAGCCAACCCGAACGCGGGGCCGATCCCTGCGCGCACACCCCGCTCGGGCGGGCCCCAGCAGCGCTAAAGGAGGGGACCCGGTGCTCGGGCCGTAAGGGACAAATCGCTTCCCCAACAGAACCCGCACACTCTCAACCACGCGCGCGCAAGTCAAACTAGCCGCGCGGGCCATCCACCCCCGCCACGTGCTTCCTCGAGGCCAGAAGGAACGGAGACCTGTTGGTTTTCCTTCGCGCCCCACCTCCCCACCCCTCCCCGGCGCCCACAACAAAGCGGTCCCGCGGGGTGGCTGCACCTCGCGCAGGTGGGAGCCGGTGCCAGAGGCCCGCCATGCGCGGAACCCGAGACTCTGGTGGGATGGGGTGCAGAGGACTCCGAGCTGCGCACAGCAACCCCTTCGCTACGCCTGGTGGCTGCGAGGGTCGCGTAGCGCTTCCCACAGCCGCTGCTGCACCCACAACCCCGCCACCCCCGGATCAGATCTGCCCGCCCCGCTTGGCGCCCTTCCCACACTCCGGTTTTCCTCTCCCGGGGTTCCCTGCGCCCGCGTCGCCGAACCCCGACCCTGGGACTCCGGGTCCCGGCCCCCACCGTGGGGTCGCCTGCGCGAACCGCCGCACAGATAACACGGTCCCCCAACATCAGCTAGCGGGGCGCGCGCCCCGAGTCCCCGCCCGGGGAGGTGCGAGCTGGTGCAGGTGGCGCGGAGGAGGCCGCGGCCCGCCCTTTGTGGGTACACACCGCGCGCCGGCCCGCGCGCCCTCCCCGCGCCCCCCACGCCGCGCCCGCTCTTACCCGCGCACAGCGATCCCCAGAGGAGGGCGAGGGCCGCCCAGGGCGCCGTCATGTTCCGCGGCGCCGCCCCGCGGACACCCGGAGCCCACGGGCAGGGCCGCGCGGCGCTCCCAGGGCGCACGGGGCCCGGCGGCGGCCGCGCTCTCCTTCCCGCTCCCTCCTGTGGGCTCGTTCCCCGCGCGCTTCCTACGCCTTCGTCCCGGGCAGCGTGAGGGCTCCGAGAGCCGGGCGGCGGGGCCGGGCTCAGGGCCGCTGCGGGCGGCACAGGCTGCGGCCCGGACTCCGGGGCGACGCGGGGGCCGGGGGACGGCGGCGGGGCGCGGGCCGGGGGGCGCCGGGCTCGGGCATGGCGTGGCGGGGCTGGGCCCGGGCCCCGGGCGCAGGGGCCGAGTCCGGAGGGGCCATGGACGGGGGGAGGGGCGGGGGGAGGGGAGCTGAACCGCGTCCAAAATGGCTCCTGAGCCGCGGCCGCGGAGACCAGCCAGCGGGGAAACCCGGATGTTGGATACAAAGAGGCGGCGAGCTGGGCGGGGAGGGGGAGGGGAGGCGGGTCCTCCGGCCGCGTGGTCCGCGCCCCCCTTGGGGGCGGGGCCCAGAGAAACAACAACAAAGAGGCCCCGCCCCCAGCCCGCGCGCTCCCGGGGGCGGCGCGGGAACCCCGGGACCCGAGCGCCGGGCGGGGCGCGCGTGCAGAGGTGACGCGGTTGGACCCTGGACCGCTTGGCCCCGGAGCCACGGAACCTCGTGGCCACCGCACGTGGAATTCTTGCTCCGCGCGCTGGAGCCCAGGCTCCCGAGCGCACGCTGCCCGGGGACCCGGAATGGGGGGGGAAGCCCCGAACTCTAGCCTGGCTTCCCCTCCGGGCCTGGTTACCCCCCTGAATTAGGAGAGGCACAGTGAACCATTGGAGAGTCGTGCGAACTAATCAGCAGAATAAGGCTGTCTTCTTTGAAATGAGTGGGCACCCACGTCTGCACCCCAGGTCCCCCCGCCACCACCATCACCCCCCCACACGCACATACACACACACACACACACACACACACACACACACACACAAAGGCACAGCTGGGGGATCCTGGAGCTGGACCCACGCAAGTGAGGGAGGGCGCGGAGCTCCTCACGCAGAGCAGCAGCGGACCCAAAAGGGCCTTTGCGACTTGCCTCCCGACCCTTAACTCCAAGGGTCCCCGGCACTCTCACCCCCACCCCCACCCGCCCGCGCGCCAATCTGCCCCACGGGAACCGTTCACAGTTGCGTCCGGTCCCGCGGTTGGAGATCTCGTCTCCGGAGACCGGCTTCGCTGCCCTCTGCACCTCCCCCGGGTTCCTCCCTGGGGCGGTCGTTCCCCAGCTCAGATTCCGCCCTCCTTATCCCTCCACCCGAGCTGGAGAGGTCACGGCGTGGCTCCCGGCTAAAGAGGGAAAGCCCGTCACAGCTCGGGGAAGGGGTGAGGACCCTTGGGTACAGAAATTGTCCTCCCTCTTCTCCTGACTTGTCATGGCCTTCAGTTCGGGCAGGAGCGGGGCAAGAGCGGCCGGGAGGGAGGCGGTGCGGGGAAGCCGGTGTTATTTCACTTCTCGGATCTTGTTTGCTGCCGCAGAAAGTGAAGCGGTGAGACTCCCTCCGTGCTTGGCGGTTTTTACGCAGCCGAAACCTTACTCAGACACAATCTGATGTTAGAGTCCACCACGTACATCACCTTATTGGAGTTGGGATGAGGGTCCCCCACCTCCAGGTTCCAAAGCACCCGGGGCCACACTTGAGAGTCACTTCCCAGAAAGATTGCTGGGTTCCTAAAGGTCCCTTCCGGTCCCGGAAAGTTCTGTGTGGAAATGACAGCTTGTAAGGCAGGATTGAATGGGCTGCAGCCAAGCAAGGAGCAGTGTACTGGGGGGTTGGTGATCCCACCGGAGGCTATGCTGACAGACACAGGGCAGCAACTCCATCTCCTGAATCCGGTAAGGCCTCACTTACCATCAAAGAAAGGTTCTTGGAAACAAGGATTTAAAGCAAAACAAGGTATAATGGACCCAGTTTTACCAGAGGCTAGTTGATATACACAGGAGTTCAGTTCCTATGGTATATTTCTGGTCACAAAAACATCACCAAAGCTTTTAAATAAAGACTCCCCCAAAATAGTTCTAATACCAGAATTTGAGATAATGTGAGCTACACATACATTTAAGAAAGATTAATAAAAACAAATACGATTGCCCTAACTGGTTTGGCTCAGTGGATAGAACGTCAGCCTGCAGACTGAAGGGTCCCAGGTTCAATTCGGTCAAGGGCATGTACTTGGGTTGCAGGCACATCCCCAGTGGGGAGTGTGCAGGAGGCGGCTGATCAATGTTTCTCTCTCATGGATGTTTCTAACTCTCTATCCCTCTCCCTTCCTCTCTGTGAAAAATCAATAAAATATATTTTTAAAAAAACAAGTACGATTATTTTCCTACCTGCTTGCTTCAGTTCAGGGTCACAGATGGCCAGAGCCTATCCCAGCAGCTCAGGGCACAAGGTGGAAACCAGCCTTGGGCAAACACCCTTCCATTTCAGGACCACACACATACCTCCACACTCACTCAGACTGGGACAATGCAGAGACCCCAATTCATCCTAACGTGCACATCTTTGGGGTGTGGGAGGAAACCTGAGTACTCAGAGAAAATCCACAAAAACATGGGGAGAACATGCAAACTTCACACAGACAGTGGTCCCTGCTGGGAATCGAACTTTTTTTTCTTATCAACATTCTAACAAAATGACACTGAACAAAATGCTATTATATAAGAACCTGCTGTAATGTCTTTTCTAAGGAAGATAAATCACTGCCTCTACTGGAAGCGATCCTATATAATAAAAGGCTAATATGCAAATTGTCGTGATGCCCTCACGCCATAACAACCAATCAGCAGGAGGCTGTGTACGCAGCAGGCACGGGTGGGTGGGGCTGCGTACGCGGTGAGGCTGGGGGATGTAAGGCTGCGTCCCCCACCTGGTGCCCGCTGGGGATGTGACACTGTTGTTGTTTATTTATTAATAAATTTGTATATTATTTTCATATACATTTTACTAATTTTCTTTCATCTCTGACACTTCTATTATAAAGGGCAAATAGCAATATTGAAATATTTCCTCTAATTCCCTTTCAATGTGCATGAATTTTGTGCACTGGGCCACTAGTCAACTATAATCCTTTTGCCAACAATTAGATTGGTTGGTTCCTCTTTTCTATTCCACACTAGGTAGGGTACCACAGTAAGAACTCCTAGTGGTCCAAGCTGACAGCACATCTGTGTCTTCCATCCTGATGTCTCTGGGAGCTCCAAGTTCGTATATCCAACTGTCTACTTGCCATCTCTATTTGGCAACCTCTCGGGCATCCCAAGCTTAACCTAACCGAAGCAGAAGTCTTCATTTTCCCCATCAGTCCACTCCTCCCCCTTTGCCCCTATTTAACTCAATGGCATAACCAACTAATTTCTCAAATCAAAACTTTGTGAGTCATTCTTGATTCCTCTCATATTGTCCATCAGCAGGTTGGCTTCCACGATCCAGCACATACAAGTGTATACCATCAACACCCAACACCTGGCAGCTGGCCCATTGCAACAGCAGTGAACTGAAATGGGTAACTGGTCACCTGTTTCCATTCTTGCCTGGCTATGAGACATTTTACTTGCAGAAACTGAAATGATCTATTAAAACTGGAACTCATGCCGAAACCGGTTTGGCTCAGTGAATAGAGCTTTGGCCTGCGGACTGAGTGGTCCCCGGTTCAATTCTGGTCAAGGGCATGTGCCTGGGTTGCGGGCATATCCCCAGTAGGGGATGTGCAGGGGGCAGCTGATCGATGTTTCCCTCTCATCGATGTTTCTAACTATCTCTCTTCCTTCCTCCCTGTAAAAAATCAATAAAATATATTTAAAAAAAAAACAAAACTGGAACTCATGCCCTGGCCAGTAACTCAGTTGGTTAGAGTGTCATCCTGATATGCCAAAGTTGAGGGTTCGATCTCTGGTCAGGGTATATACAAGAGTTAACCAATAAATGCATGGATAAGTGGAACAACAAATTGATGTGTTTGTTTTTCTCTCTCCCAAATCAATAATACCAATTTTAAAAGTGGAACTTACATTACTTCTTGCTTAAAATCCTCCTAGGGCTTCCCGTTATGATGGCTAACAAAGCTCTACAGAATTGACCCTTTCTCCTCTCCCATCTCACCGTTATCATTCAGGACGCACTGCTGCTTTCTGTCCTCAGATACAGTAAGGTTGTTTGTAAGGTTGTTTCTGCCTCGAGCCCCTCACAATCGCCACTGCCACTGCGGAATACTCCTGTCTGCTAGGAAGATGGACGTTACGGTCTTATGTGCTAGAATTACAGAAATGACATACCATCCGTCACCTTTGTCATATCCTATTTATTGCAAGCAAGTTACAGGTCCTGCTTACACTCAAGAGGGAAGTACACCAGGGCGTGACTGCCAGAAGGCAGGGACCATGCAGGCCATGAGAGTTTGTCTGCCACACTGAAGGTGGCATCCGCTGTGCTCCCCGGTTCTTGGCTTCGCCCACCACAGCTTTCACTTTGCATTGCCCTCCTTGAGCATCACTAAAGAGGGAATTGGGACATAGGCCTTTAGAGCAACACCCTCAGCCTGCTTCCTGCCCATAGATAGTTGGGGGCCCAAATCTTTTCACATTTGGTCCCTTCTTGTCTAGACTGACATCACTTTTATGTTCTGTGGATTTTATGTGTCTGATTTGAACTTGCTCTATGCACCAAAAGCCACACCCAGAATTATTGTTGAGATCTTTCTCTCCCTCTCTCTCTCTCTCTCTCTCAACTTAACCCCTGATACTTTAGGTATGAGAGAATGCTGTGGGACAAGAACTTATGATTCCTGAAAGTCGCTTTAATCAGCTGGAAAGGTTCTAAGACAGGGCCTTGAGTCTTTCAGAGGGCTCAGCAAAGTATCTTTGAGTCCTTGATTTTTTTTTTTTTTGAAGCCATATCTTATATTTGATAATCTCTTTTGGCTTAAAGGGGCAAAGATGAGAAAGTTATTTTCTTCATTCTAGCATCTGTAGATCCCCTCTAAATTCTACTTTGAATCTGGCTAGTTTGACACTTTTAACATTCTGCTTAGAAATTTCTTTTCTCAAGCCCAATGTCCAGTAGGTCAACTTTCTATCTTCCACGTTACCTGAGTACTCAGTTACCTTGCGTTTTTTTCAGACTCCTGTAAGGATTTTTTCACCGTTTTTCCTCTCTCCACCACA